TAGTACGGCACCAACCCTGGCGTGCAAGCCGTACTAGTACGGCACCAACCCTGAAAGGGTTAAGGGGCTTTCTGCATGCACACCTAAATGTCAATCACCTCTGTACAAACATTGTATCATGCATAAATAAATTATCTTATCTATAGCTTATCTTATTTTTCAGTACAGTTAGCCCATTTTTCAATTATTTAATATGTGACCTACCAAACACGATCCCTGGCCCCTAAACAATTGTGTTAAGTCCAGGGACTGCTTCAGGTCACTCTGTTGTAGCTAGGTCATCCTCCAACACTGGCTAGGTGCTGGAAGATTTAGCTTGTAGATTCACTTCTGCACCTACCAGCTGGTCTATCAGCACTTTGTCTTTGACTTACTGGAAGAGTATATCTGACAAGATCTATCAGTGAGATATTATTTTTCAGAATAAAATCCATACTGCGAGAATTCCAGACAAGATCTGACGCTTACCACGTCACAGAAGGTAACGACAAAAAATGTTAGTTTGGTCATGCTGCTTGGTTATAAGTAGGGATCACAAGGAGGTTAGAGGAATGTCTCACTCTGCAAACTGGAAGGGCCGTGGATGCCTCCTGCACATTCCTCAATAAGTTTTGTGTGAATTTAGTTGGGCATAGTGACTAATGTGTCAGCCAGAGATTAGAGGAAGCATCAGCTTGAGAGGCATCTTTTGCATGCACAATGTGAAGTTAGTCAAACAATCTACGCATAATAATCTCATAATCAACTCATGATATGAGTACATCATAAAGTTCAATATCAATGAACACTTGCACCAGCTGTCCACGGCTAAAGTGCAAAAAATTGCAAATCCTACGGTAGTAGAGTCCATCAAGAGAAGTTTCTTATGAAACTATGAGAGAAGCGATGAGGTAGTAACACAGGCTAAACCAAACAGGGGTGACTGATTCTTTAGGGATAGTTGCTGGGATCTCCCAGAATAAGGTAACTCAAAGGCCAGGTCATCTGGCATATTCCAGGATAAATACAAAGGATCAAAAACAGTATGTAAGCACTTCCTCTCTGCTGGAGAACCCAAAACATCAATACATGGCAAGCCAAATGGCTTTTACAAGGGCAACACCATACATTTTATGGCTATCCTCCTACAAAAAAGACCTCAGCTCTAAGAGCAGGCTCATCTTCCAGGTGAATGGAAATGAGAACTAGTATACAGCATGTGCACGGATCAGTTACAATTTAGCGTTATCAGGTTATGTTCACCCTGGTGAAGGAAGATACCACCAACGCACTCTAAAACATCAACAAAGACTATAATAACCTCTCCAACCTCCACAGAAAGGACTGCCCCCAGCCTTAGTGCCAGTCTATTGAGGACATGGTTAACCTCCAAGAAGATATAAACCTAGTTTTCCAATGAGCAATGGAAAACATTATGATGTTCAGTGAAGACAAATTCCAACTACAGTGGAACCTTGACTTACGAGTTTAATCCGTTCCGTGACCGAGCTCATAACTCAATTTGCTCGTATATCAAATCAATTTTCTTCGTATAAATTAATTGAAGTGCCATTAATCCGTCCCAGCGGCAGGAAAAAATATTTCAACATAACGCTAATATCAACTCTATGGCTTTTCTCTATCACAACCCTTCTTCTATCGCTTAACAAATTTGCTACACTCTTAATGCTACACTTTATCACTGAACTTAACTGATATAATTTGTTTTGTTTGACCACTGAACTTAACTGATACAATTTACATTAATTCCATGGAAATCCTCCTCTTTCTTCTCAGCACTGTCCTTGGCACTTATTTTCTTAGGACCCATGGTTAGAAAAAAGGAAATTTGGACAAATGACTATAAAAAATGCAAGCACAAGAGAACTGCTCCCATGGCAACATAAACATGTGGACTCCTTACTGCATGTTTTGCCATCTACTGCGCCATCTAGTGGCAGCATCCTGAATTATTATTACGTATTATGTATTATTATTACTATTAATAATATTAAGTAATAATTATTATTATTACTTTAGGAAACTGAAGCTCTCTCATTATTATATTATTATTATTATTATTATTATAATAATAATAATAATACATATGTACTACAACTACTACTACTAATAATAATAATAATAATGAGAGCTTCAGAACGCTACCAACTCAGTGCACTGTTTACCTCGGTGTGGGAGTATTTCTCTCATGCTTTGCTTACATTTTTTACAGTCATTTGGCCAAATTTCATTTTTCTAAGCATGGGTCCTAAGAAAGTAAGTGTAAAGGACAGTGCTGAGAAGAAAAAGAGGATGATTTCCATGGAATTAAAGCATGAAATCATAGATAAACAAGAGAGGTGTGCAGGTTTTTGGTTGAGGGGAAAGTGAGGGGAGCTGGCTCATAACTTGGTTGTTGGCTCATAACTCAGAGCAAAAAATTGACTGAGCGACGGCTCGTATCTCAAAAAACTTGTACATTGGGACACTCTTATGTCAAGGTTCCATTGTGCTGCATTATGGAAAACTGGAGGAGATAATAATTAGGACTGAGTATACTACAAACTCTCATCACACATCAGAGCAGAAAAATAATGTGAGGGACCTGGGAGAGGTAATGTCTGAGGGTCTCACTTTCAAGGATCACAACAGTGCCACGATCACAACTGCAAAGAAAATGATAGGATGGATAATGAGAACATTCAAAACAAGAGATGCCAAGCCAATGATGATCCTTTTCAAATCATTTGTTGTCTTTAGGCTGGAGTACTGCTGTACTCTGTTCAAAGCAAGTAAAATTGCAGATCCAGAGTGTGTACAGAGACCCTTTACTGCACATATAAGTTCCATCAAACACCTCAACTACTGGGAATGCTTGGAAGCACTTGACTTGTACTTGCTGGAATGCAGGCGAGAGAGAGATATCATAATCTACACTTGGAAAATCCTAGAAGGAATGGTCCTGAATCTGCATACAGGAATCAGTCCCTACGAAAGTAAAAGACTGGGCAGGCAGTGCAAAATACCCCCAATGAAAAGTAGGGGTGCCATTGGTACACTAAGAGAAAACAACGTAAGTGTCTGGGGCCCAAGACTGTTCAACAGCCTCCCACCATGCATAAGGGGAATCACCAATAGGCCCCTGGCTGCCTTCAAGAGGGAGCTGGACAGATATTGAAAGTTGGTGCTGGATCAGCCCGGCTGTGATTTGTACGTTGGACTACATACGGCCAGCAGCAACAACTTGGTTGATTAGGCCTTGATCCACTGGGAGGCCTGGTCGAGGACCAGGCAGGGGGGGCATTAATCTCCAGAGTACCCTCCAAGTAGATTCCAGGTAGGGTCGGAGTGGGAAGAACTTTTTAATCGTACTCGAGTTCTAGAGGTGAACAATAATGCTGACATCTTCAGTAGAGTAAAATCTCTACAAGGAATGTAGCATATATTCAAAGGCAATCAACAAGTACACTTAGCAGTTTATAAGGTGTATAGAAATAATATACAGTGGAACCTCAAATTTCGAACGTATCACTTATCAAATTCTTCGAAAATCGAACGCTTTTTTCAAACCAACTTTGTCCCTATTATCGAACTTGCCCCTATTTTCAAACCGCCGGGTACCGGGCCTGTCTGGCAGCCCGCTCTGTCCACGTCCCCGTGCAGGCGCTGTGAGCCAGTCTGGTTTTGTTGATGCTTAAGTGAACACTAACCTGTGCTCTCATTCAAACATTTTATGATTATTTCTTTGTGTTTAGTGCTTGTGGGACTGTGAAATAAGCTACCATGGGCCCAAAGAAACTTGCTAGTGGTACCCTGTGGTAAAGAAAGTGAGAAACACCATAGATGTGAAGGACACAAGCCTATGAAAGACAGGCTAACTCTTTTATTCTGTGCTAACACTAGTGGTGATTTTAAAGTGAAGCTTTTACTTGTGCATCATTCAGAAAATCCCAGAATGTTTAAGAAAAACAATGTCATAAAGAACAAAGTATATGTCTTGTGGAAAGCAAATAATAAGGCATGGGTCACAAGGCAAATTTTCAGAGTGGGTCCATGAAGTGTTTGGCCCCAGTGTGAGAAAATACCTCCTAGACAATAATTTGCCACTCAAGTGCCTCCTGTTAATGGACAATGCTCCTGCTCATCCTCCAAACTTATTAGACCTCTTGTCTAGGGACTTCAGTTTTATTACAGTGAAGTTTTTGCCTCCTAACACCACTCCTCTCCTCCAGCCCATGGACCAGCAGGTCAATTCTAACTTCAAAAAACTCTACAAAAAAAAAGCAGTGTTTGAAAAGTGCTTTGAAGTGACCACAGACACTAAGTTGACCCTAAGAGAGTTCTGGAGGAATCACTTCAACATCTACAACTTCATAAGCCTTATAGGTAAGGCTTGGGAGGGAGTGACTTCCAGGACTTTTAACTCTGCTTGGAGACAATTGTGGCCAGATTGTGTCCAAAAGAAGGATTTTGAAGGGTCTGAGGCTGACCCTGACCCTGACCCAGCTGACCCTCTGCCTATTGTGGACTCTATTGAGGCATTGGGGAACACCCTGGGGCTGGAGGTGAGTGACAAGGATGTGGAAGAGTTGGCAGAGGACCCCAGGGAAGAGCTAACCACTGAAGAGCTGGAAGAGCTTTATCTGGAACAGTATCAGACCACAGCTGAGGACCTTGCTTCAGAGGAGGAGGAAGAGGGAGTGGATGAGGTGCCTTCTTCAAAGATTAAGGAGATCTGTGCCAGGTGGAATGATGTCCAAATGTTTGCGCAGAAGTACCATCCTGAGCAGGCTGAAACAAGCCATCTTTGCAACAAGTTCAGTGACAAAACCATGAAATCTTCAAGAGGCACCAGAAACAGAGGACTGTGGACAGTTATTTTGTGAGACAGGGGTCCAGTGACTCTAAAGCTAGTCCTAGTGGCATTAAAAGACAGAGAAGGGAAGTAACCCCAGAGAGGGCTTTGATACCTGAAGTCCTCATAGAGGGATATTCTCCTTCCAAACACTAACCCCAACTCCCTCTCTCTCCTCTTCCCTATCTTCCAGATGCCATCACCAATCTTCAATAAAGGTAAGTAAAAATGTTATATGTTTATTTACATTTATTAATACATAATTGAACACTATATCTGTTGTATGTAAAACTGTAATTAATCTCTCTAAAATGTACTTTTTTGTGAATATTTTTGGGTTTCTGGAACGGATTAATTGTATTTCCATTATTTCTTATGGGAAATATTGCTTCGCTTTTCAGACTTTTTGAATTTAGAATTAGCTCCTGGAATGGATTAAGTTCGATACTTGAGGTTCCACTGTAAAATAATTACTGAATACTGTACTCACCTTTTATGGGATATTCAATATTGCTTATGGAAATATTCTCTACCATGTGCTTTGATAATGTGAAGGCAATATCAAATCATAGGAGCTTGGAATAATAAAATAAATATAGTTTTCAAGATGTCTAAAATTAGCAAAAAGAAAAAAAAATAGAATACACACCTTCTGCTGCGTAAAGTGGAAGGAGAGCCTTTATCTGGCGTCAATGCGATGTGTCTTCTGTCATGTCTCAAACGTTCCTTGCTGACCCCATCACTAAATGTATGGACAGAGCGCCGAAGTGGACTGCAACTTCTTGGACTATGCTTCCATGATTCATTTCTATCTGAAGAGCACCTTGAAACAGGAGACACACCCCTCTTCCAAATGGGAGAGACACTCCTCTCTCTCCACCTACTTTCTGGACTGTAATTACTTCTGTTAGGATGGCAAATTCTTTCTGTACTGTAACATCTATCCCCACTGTGGTGTCTAACTTTACTGTCACATCTCCATGGACTCAACTCCCTTTCTGGAGTAAGTTCCTCCTCTGAACTGTACCTCCTTTTAGAAGGAATCCCTCTGTTAGTATGTCTATCCAGCCATTTACTGCACTTCGGAGAACTATGATATCTTGATGGGCTCAAATCAGGAGTCCCATATTTTGAAATGGTAAAGGTATTGTCTGTGTAATTTACTGTATAATTTCCTGACAATTTATATCTACTATCTGAGTCAGTTTCATTACTATTTTTTTCATTTGGATTTTGATAGTCCGGAGATGACAAATGCAAAGATGATGGGGAAACAGGCTCAAGATCAAGATTTTTCCTGAAAATGTCATAATTTTCAAAGTTTTCTCTCTGAGGAGAGTGCTTTCCTGTCTCAATATTTGATGATGAGCTTAATGTAGATGGAGATATACCTTCAAGATAGCAATGTCTAGATGGATTGCAATTCTCATAAATATTATCTTGAATAAAAGTACAACAGTTATCAAAGTCTTTACTTCCATTTTTCCTTTTATTTGTCATAGCTTGCAGTATGCATGGACTGCTTTCTTTTGTATTTTTTCTTTTTTTTGTCTTTTCTGAGTCTTTCATGTTTACATTATTATATGTGGGTTCTTGGCCTAAGTTACAGCTGCTATTAATACTCGCATTTTCAACAACACATGTTTTCATATCTTCTAGATCTAGAGGTGGAGTCCATCCCAAAACTGAAGATTTTTTCACAGCAGTGAGGCTTGAGGCTTCAGGTGAAAGAGACAGGAGAAAATTATTCCTATCCAAAAGGTTGGATATATTATATATGCATGAGCCAGGCATTCTTTCAAAATCAGCTAAATCATTTGTATTCCAAAGAGTACTCGTATGTATGGAGGCATAATAAGACTGCTTGGCAAAATTGACACACTCTCCAGCTATCTTTCTAGCTATTGATGACACTGGATGGAAACCATCAAACAGAGGCACATCACTGGCTAATTGACTGCACTTACCAAATACTGAACTCTTAAAGTCCCACACAGGCAAATTTTTTCTTTTAGAATATGCAGTTGCAATCCTATTTATTCTTAATATGAAGTCAGAAATCTGACATAATTTTTTGTCTAGTTCCTCAGATTGTTTTTGACTTTGTATAACATGCCCAGTTTTCTCAGCATGCATCTTGATCAGATAATTTTTGAAGCTCAGAAAATCAAATGGATAAATGGTTGTTATTATAACATCACAGTTAATAGTAATTTTATGAAGAAGCTGGTCAACTCTCTTTAAGCAGTGTACAAAATCAATCCATGCTTCATTGGTGCTGTCCAAAGTCTCTATACATAAAGAGGGTAATTCTAGTTTTATCTCATGAGAATCACAGCCATCCTCTGCAACAAAGTTTAATAAATCATACATCCCTAAACTAATTACTATTAGTGAATTTTTCTTGCCAGTAATTTCTTTGACAATAGGGTTTTCTTGAGTGAAAGTATGGAAAGACAACTTGGACTGTGTCAGTACAGTTAACATTGTGTTATCAGTGTCAGTGGGCCAAGCTTTCTCCAATGCTTGTATTCTGGAGTCACCAATAAGTACAACTTCCTGATACCTCATAGAGTATAGATTAATCCTATTTTTAAGAAAAGGGATGATGCTTAACTGTGTTAATTTTTTTGAAGGATTTAGACCATCAACCATATGTAAATGTGAAAATTTATTATATGCAGACTGTGAACTTTCATTTATTTCTAAAAGATGCCAAGGAATAGTTCGTCCATCTCCTCTTACACTTAATTTTTTGACTTCGTCATTAACTTCAGTTAACTTATGATAAACTAGGTTTTCCAGACGAGGTGAGGGTGACTGGACATCCGGGTGGTGGCCAGTACCATCTTTGTGAACTTTCAACTGCCATAAATTAAACTTTGAAATGTTTACTGGAAGAATAGTTGTAAAATAGACTTCAGAATTATTACCCAATAAATCTTGCAAACTGCTCCTCACAGCCATCATCTTATGAATGATGTCAAAACGTGAATTTCGTTTTGTAAAATATATTTGTTTCATTGGTACGTGGTCGTCCATTATCTGGCAGGATAAATTGTCACTTATTTCAATGATGTCATATATTCCAACACTACAAATGAGTAAGATTCCTTCAGAGAAATACTTTTTATCAACATAAAGTTCAACAGACTCCTTCAACTTATCAAGGGTCAAGTCTGGGACACATCTGATGTCAATGCTGAAACGTTTACCATCCATCCCAACTTCTGCCAGGGACTTGATGCGAGAATCTCCTATTATCACCACCTTTTTCTTCTGCAAGCATGAGCTGCCAATTACCTGTAAATAAAAAAATATACATTTATTACAAGGAGCTTCATTCATCAACATACTTTTCTCAATGTAATTGACAGCATATACGAACAACAAATGTCTATAGTGGATATCAGCTAAAGTGAGCAAAAAATCTGGCCGGATAAAGGCTCCACATGTACGTTTAATGAGACGTTCAACTAACCCTTCAACCCTTTAACCCTTTCAGGGTCCAAGGCCCAAATCTGGAGTCACGCACCAGTGTCCAAGAATTTTCAAAAAAAAAAATTTGTTATTTTTTCTTATGAAATCGTAGAGAATCTTTTTGTGAAGGTAATAAAACAAAAAGTACGAAATTTGGTGGAAAATTGACGAAATTATGCTCTCGCGAATTTTGATGTGTCAGCGATATTTACGAATCGGCGATTTTGCCGACTTTGACTCCCATTTTAGGCCAATTACATTATTCCAGTCAACCAAATTCTTAGCTATTTCACTAGTATTACTTCTATTCTATCGATTGAGCACAAGAAATTGCCAAGTCAACTGTTTCAACTACAAAATAAAGTGATCGAAATTGTTAATTTGGCCAATTTAACACAAAGTTCAAAATATTCCAATTTCAAAATAGGGTCCAGAATGAACAATGTAGGCATTCCTGGCACTAAACTAACATTTCCTCTGTTCATTAGTTATGTTTTGAGGCTTTACAAATAAATTCCATTTTGATTTTTTATTCACATAATGAATTTTTATTCACACCAAAAAATAGAAGATTTACTGTTATGCAATACTGTAATAATTGTATAAATATCATCACCATATTGTGAATGTATATTAGACCCACCAGCTGATGTGTATTAGACGTGTGAGGTCGTTTGTTTACTCTTGAATATCGGCAAAAATTTAACATTTCTTCTACTTTGAGCTCAGTTTTCAAGCCATTTCCAGTGCTAAAACCAATCAAAATCATCTCTATTTCTGTAATATGTCTTCCATTCTATCAAATGAGACCAAGAAATCGCAAATACAACTATAAAAAACATACGAAAAAACACTGCAAAGTTGCTGTTTTAATCGAAAAATCATGATTTCATTTTTTTTCTCTCATTATACACAGTGTGCTGCAGGATCTGTTTTATGTGGTGCACACATACCACATAGATGTATTCTCTCATATCTAGGCCCAAATGTACCACTCACAGTTTATCAGAGTGAGCTGAGCTCATGGCGTAGATCTACGGTTTGGACCCTGAACGTAAAGCCGTAGATCTACGGGACGGACCCTGAAAGGGTTAACTCTATCAGTGGCTGTGCCATAGTACTAAGACTTTGAGGTCACTGTCAGTGCTGTAGTACTATGGCATGTGCTCAGCTCACTCAGAAAAGCTGTGAGAGGTAAATTTGTGCCTAGAAATGAGAGAATGGATTTATGTGGTAAGTGTGCATGACATAAAAGAACCCTGCAGCAGGCAATGCATAATAAGAAAAAACTGTGACTGTTTTTAGTTTAAAACAGCAACTTTTCAGTGTATCTTCTTATGGTTTTATTGGTCTCATTTGATAAAATGGAAGATATATTACAGAAATAGAGATGATTTTGATTGGTTTCAGGACTGAAAGTAGCTTGAAACTGAGCTCAATGCAGCAGAAATGTTTGATTTTCACAGATAGTATTCAAGAATAAACAAATCATGCCACTCGTACAATACACGTCCAACTGCTGGGTCCAATACATGTTCAAGAATGCGATGATATTATTTATACAATTATTACAATATTGCATAACAATAAATAAATCTTCTATTTTTTGTGTGAATAAGAATTCTTTGCATAAATAAAAATTCGAAGTGGAATTCATGTGTAAAGCCAGGGAACATAACTAATGAACAGAGTAAATGTTATTTTAGTGCCAGGAATGCCTGAAATGTTTATTCTGGACCCTATTTTGAAACTGGAATATTTTGAAATTTATGTGAAATTAGCCAAATAACCAATATTTGATCACTTTATTGGGTAATTGGGTGATATGTATTCAATTGATAAAATAGAAGATATACTAGCAAAATAGCTAGGAATTTGGTTGATTGGAACAATGCAACTGGTCTAAAATAGGACTCCAATTAGGCAAAAATCTCCCAATGCATAAATATCACTGACACTGCAAAATTTGTGAAAGTGTAATTTTATCAATTTTCCATAAAACTGTGTACTCTTGTTTGATTACATTAAAAAAAAAAAAATTCTCTACCATATAAAAAATAATTTTTTTCTTCTTAAATTCTTGGACAGTGTAGACAAGCTTCAGATCAAAAGTCTGGACAATGAAAGTGTTAACTATGAGAGACCCTGGAAAAAAATTCCAGTGTGTGCAGGAAGATTTTGAAAAATAAAAATAAAAAATATTTTTTTTTGTTACAGGTCAAGAGAGTTTATTTTTTCTGAACTTAATGGACTAAAATGAGCAAAATCTGACTAAAACTTGGGATTTTATAGTGTGCTGAAGTTGATGAAACAATGATAACTAATCAGCAACAGCGGCATTAAAGTGCCAGTGATGTTTACATTTTTATTTTTACACAGGGTTTAACAAGGTTAGGAAAAGTTTCCTAACTTTATTTACAAGGTAAGAGCTGTTACCTACATCAGCTCATTTAAAAGCCTCTTTATTGGTATGAAGCATACAAGTAGGGAACAGGATGAAGTTGCAGCTATCTGTGGGCCAGCAGTTTAATCAACTGACTATTTCACTGATATCTTTATGCTGCACAAGCGTGTTCTACACTCAAGTTTGGAACATGTTCATACAGCATAATGGGAATAAATGATCTCAGATGAGCGATGTTCTGGAGAAGGGTACAGTCAGAGTGAAGTTGCTGTCTGCTGCCACTTCTCGCTTTCCTCAGAGTGGAGCCAAGTGTGGCACCTTGGCAATATTGGCCTTGTACATAACAGAAAGGCCACCCACATCCCTCCAGTGATGAAGGCTCTGCTGAAATAACAGATCTATCCAGGATGGGTCCAGGCGAGAGATGAGACATCTTGCTCTGTTCTTTACTCTGTCAAAAAGTCACAGATAAGACAGTTGGTAGGCAATCCAAGAAAGGGGAACACACTCACGGTGTGAGCGTACTTGTGCCTCGTACAGAATCTTGCAACCCTACTGTTGAGCAGATGTGAGATATGTCAAAGTGCTGTAAGCTTCTTGGCTGCCTTGTTTGCAAGATTTACAACGTGGTTCTTCATGGTCAGTTTGGAGTCAAATTTCACCCCAAGGATATCAACTTCGTCCCCAGGTACCAACACTCTCCCATTCATACTTACTATTGCTCTGGCATTACCATCATAGTGCCTAGAGACCATCATCATTTGTGTTTTCTCAGGTGCAAATGTTACCTGCCATCAGTTTCCCCAGGCTGACATAACGCTTAGCTAGTGATTGATGTAGTTTAGAGCAGCTGACATTTCCTCTCTTTGATAAGTAAATGTCAGAGTACAGTCATCTGCTTTTGGCATGTTACACTTAACCACTATTTCTTTGTACTACATCTATGTATCATGTCCAAATTAATAATAAATAAATAAATATGCATGGGATTCTGGGATGAGATGAAGGTCATTGAAGTAGACATTCCATATCAATGGCCCAAGCACACTTCCCTGTGGAACACTTGCCCCAACAGGATGTCTTGCTGACTCCGTTCCACTGAGAACTACACATAGAGCTTTACCTTTAAGATAATCACTGAAGAGATATAGTTTAGAGTCTGCCATTCCCAGTGCTTGCAGTTTTGCCAAGAAGCCCTGGTGCCATACTCAGCTGAAAGCACCAGCAATGTCCGGTGCTACCACACAGCTGGCTTTGGATTCATCCAGTGACTGGTGCCACTTAGTGGAGATGTTTAACAACAGATCAGCAGCAGAGTAACTTTTCCTGAAGCCATATTGACGATCACAAAGTAGTGAGTTATAGTTAAAAAAACTCTGTCATTTGTCTTGAAATTATTGTCTCAGGGATCTTGCCAGTGATTGTCAGGAGTGACACAGGTCTGTAGTTGCTGATTTCTGCTCTGGTCGTCTTTTTTATGAACAGGAACTACATTTGCCTCTTTCCATAGAGAGGCTAGAGGTAGATGTAAACTACAGTGGAACCTCAAATTTCCAACGTATCACTTATCGAACTCTTTGAAAATAGAACCCTTTTTTCGAACCAACTTTGTCCCTATTATCGAACTCGCCCCTATTTTCGAACCGCCGGGTACCAAACCTGCCTGGCAGCCCGCTCTGTCCGCGTCCCCACACAGGCACCATGAGCCAGTCTGGTTTTGTTGATGCTTGAGTGAAAACTAACCTGTGCTCTCATTCAAACATTTTACTATTACAGTGGACCCCCGCATAGCGACCTTAATCCGTGCAAGAGGGCTGGCTGTTATGCGAAATGTTCGGTATGCGAATGAATTTTCCCCATAAGAAATAATGGAAATCAAATTAATCCGTGCAAGACACCCAAAAGTATGAAAAAAAAATTTTACCACATGAAATATACATTTTCCTACACACAAAGAGAAGGATACATGCACAATAGTAGAGTAGTACATGCACAATATATATTGTGCATGTACTACTCTACTAAATGAAGAATAAATGACACTAACCTTTATTGAAGATGCAGCAATGACTGATGAGACACTGTGTCCTGGGAGTCCCTTTTTCCTCCTGAGTACTGTAGGTCCTGTTGGTATTTTCTTCCAGAACAGGCCTTATCACACTGTGTATGTCACTACGATTCTTAAATCTCTCAAACCAACCCTTTTCTGGCTCTAAATTCACCAATATGAGCACTAGTTCCAGGCATTTTCCCTGTTCACTGGGGTTAGTCGACTGGTGTGGGTTGCATCCTGGGAGACAAGATTAAGGACCCAATGGAAATAAGTTAGACAGTCTTCGATGATACTGACTTTTTTGGGCTATCCTGGGTGGCAAAAACCTCTGGGGTTAATTGTTTCTTGGTATTCTCAATAAGCCAC